GCAATTAACAAACAAAATCAAATAAAAGAGAATATACTATGTGCATCAAATGCAAGTGTGCACCACAAATTAGTAACACAAACATATTTTTCGATCACATAATTATGTGGTAATTACATGATTGAAAATTATCTCAAAGTACCTTGCACAAGTGAACAAAAGTGTTAGAAATAACAAGGAAGTTCTATCGGAAGAAAACATCACTATTACAATTCAAAACAAGGCTAAATCATGAGAGAATGAGAATCAAATTCATATTAGAAGTCCAAGAAAGAAAACCGGGCAGCCGCACAGTTAAAACATAAATCGAACCGACAAATGTTACGGAAATGAACAAACTCGACCAAAATGATTCACAAATGAATATTAAATCATATACATGCATCAAGGGGAAGCAAAAAACCCAAAATTCGCGTCACTAACTGCTAAAAAGCGTTATATCCAAAAATTAGGCGCGAAAATCATCAGAACGGAATCAGCTCAAAATCGCTTAGTTGCATCTAAATGTGCCAACAGATTCAAAAAAGTAGCTCTCATGAATTAATTCCAAATGGTAGTGGTACTTTTGATGTATTTTTGTGCACGGGGCAGCAACACTATCTCCTAAATCGGGTGGAATTTTGGTCCAAAAATGGGAAAATTGGCCTAAACGCCCCCTAAATGTCACACCTAAAAGCATTGATCAAGATTCAAAAAGAAAATGGTACTTCATATGTAAATTGGCAAAATTGAGCTGCATCTTATTTATGTTAATATCCACCAAAAGTGACTTGAAAATCATGGTTTTAATATTCTCAAGGTAGATATTAACACAAACAATTAAGTTGGAATTGATAAAGGAAAATGTTTCCGTGAAATTGACATAAAAGTATCACTTCCAAACATGGAAAAAATCAAAAACTCATATGTTAATTTCACACTTTTGTTGCATATCAAGACTTGACATTAACACATAAACTTCTCTTTAATTATAAAAAATATTAGCATTGGCATTGGTTGAGTTTGAAGAATATAGCAACATCAATATCTCAATAAAAACTCCATTAATTAAATTAAAGAAAAAGCATTTCCAAACAATTAAACTCACACATTTTTTGTTGGCTTATTCTTCAATATAATTTATAATAAAAATTCAACTCATAAGATTAATGTGAACAACACTTCTAAAACAACATGAATTTCTAAAACTCAACATAACCTCATGAATTCAACCAACTCCAACTCTTTTCATAATTAACAAAACAAGAAATATTCAATCAACATATGAAAGTTGCAAGCCTAGCACAACAACATTCAATATTTCTCTCTCTTTGGAATTTTTACAAACACATAATTTTCACAAAATTTGACACATGATTTCAATAATTAAAGAATAGAGATTATGTCAAATGTATGTGATATCAAGAATCAATAATTAATCCATAATAACATCAACACTTTAAAACTAGAATAAGCATTTTTCATGAAAATCACTTAATCAAATAAGTGTTTATTTCAACTATCTAATTCCGGATTTCAACAATATTATCTCAATTCAATTCATAATCAATATTTAAGCCACAAAACTAATTCAATTCCTCAATTAATTTCTCAAATTAACATTCAATTCAAAAACTCATACAAAAGCACTTATTCAATTAAGCAATTATGTAAAAAGAAATTAAGAAAGAGGCTTACCAAAAATTGAAGAGGAGTTTGGAGAAGATGATGATCGGAAGCAAAACGCAATCGAAGGCAGCTAGGCGTGGCGCAGAAATCGCGAAAAAGAGGGAGAGATGTTGCGGCGGAGGGAGGCTTGTGCATTGGAGGGCGGGTGGTCACCGGCGGCGCGAAGGTGGAGGAGAGAGGGAGTGAGGAGGCGCGGTGAGGATAAAGAGAGAATATAATTGAATTTTGTGATTTTTGTTCTTGATGCTTGATGAAGATGTGATGAAGTTGTTGTTGTGTTCTTTAGAATTTGAGAGAAAATCTCACTTTGATCCTTGAGCAATTTGAGAGAAAAGTTTTTGGTGTTTGTAAGAGTATGTGAATTATGAGAGAAAAATCATATTTTAAAATATATAGTGTAGCATAATGGGCCTTGGATTTGAAATTGGGTTGGGCCTCATTTTGACAGGGTTAGTAAATGTGAGTATAAAATGTCACGTCATCAATGGTGCGAACTCGAACTCAACATGAAAAATGAAGATAATAAAATTTGTGACATGTTGCCAAAAGAACGGGCTCAATCGGATAAATAAAGAGAAAGTTATGAATTTTCGAAGATGTGCAGATATTGTCTCAAACAAACTTTATTCCGGTTTTCAGTTTTTTTTAGTCTCACTTGCGTACCGGACCATAAACGGAAGCCTTCAGAGTATCGTTTGAACTCGAGGTCTGAAGCAAAGTTGAAGCTAGCAAATTTTTTGATCCAATGCTTCAAAAACCGACCCGATACGACAAAAATTGAGAGATTTATTAATTTATGAACACCAAGAAAATAAACAACTGTCAATCTTTGTCCACTGTAAAAATATCGGGTAATTTGCATTTTCAGAGACTTTCTGAATAAAATTGGCTCTTGGTTCGAACATACAAAATGTAGGAGACATCAAGACAGAATTTATGGCGAAAGAACGACTCCAAAACACTGAACCAGATGAAAGTTATGAATTTTTAAACGTGTGAAAAACAACGGTTCAACACCCATTTTCACTGTACATCTTCAACGGATTGGCACATTCGGAGATCCTCTTCAAAGAATTAGCTCTTGGCCTGAACACGTAAATTAGAGAAGATATAAAAACAGATTTTATGGCGAAAGATCTACTCAGAGATGATGAGCCATCTAAAATATACGAATTTTCAAACATCCGAAACACAGTGGACCAGCAAAACCAAAACTCTGGTTATTAAAATATTCGGAGGTCTTCCTCACAAAATTAGCTTTCGGTATGAATAGATGAAATGTAGAAAATACCGATATGGACCCAATGTCGAAAGAACCACTCAAAAATCCTTTTCTAACTAGAAGTTATGAATTTTTGAAATCCACCGCAAAATATCGATTTTCTGCTCAAACTGTTGCGGAATGGCCGAAACACCTGATTTCATTTTCCTTCAAGGCGCGTTGGAGCACACAAGAACTTGGCATGGTGAAGATTTGACTATTCTCTGATAGATGGCCTAAAGAACGTTCTGAGCACGTCGACTGATGAAATAAAAGTCATTCGTAACATGGTGAGGCTTGAAAGAAAAACCTTGATCCCATAACCATAAAAACAATGATATGTATGCATATGATGAAAGATAAGCCAAATAAAGTCGAAATGAAGAGGATAAATTTTGGAGTACAACAAAATGCTTTACAACACTAGTGATGGTGTGGAGCTCACGGGTGTATGTCAAAGCCTTATTCATCCGAGGATAAAAAACTCTGCTAAAGAAGGCCAAAGGATGTCCTGCTTGTAAGAGGACAACACTCATTACAAAACCTGGAGCATCTGTTTGAAGGACAAAAGGAGAGGTAAAATCTGGGAGAGCGAGAATCGGAATAGAAACCATTGCTTGTTTAAGCTGATTAAAGGATGATAAAGCTCCCTCACTCCACTTAAAGGATTCCTTTTATCAACAATCAGGTTAATGGTAAAGCAATGGAAGCATACCCACGAATGAACTTCCAATAATACCCCGACAAACCCAAAAATCCCCTCAAGGCTTTTAAAGTTTTTGGTACAGGCCACTCAATAATAACTCTTATTTTCTCAAGGTCAGAAGCCACGGTTTCATTCACTATAATGTGACCTAAATACGCAATGGTAGTTTGCCCAAACGAACATTTAGAAGCTTTCAAGAAGAACCGATGCTCTGAAAGGAGATAAAAAACTTTCTCAAGATGAATCTTATGTTGCTCCGCTGTTTCACTGAAAACAAGAATGTCACCGAAGAACACAATAACAGTCTTGAGAAGAAGTGGACGAAAAATGTCATTCATGGTTCCTTGGAAGGTAGCTGGTGTGTTGCAAAGCCCGAATGACATGACTTTGTACTCATAATGGCCATCATGGGTTCGAAAATCTGTCTTGGGACTGTCTTGAGGTTGAAGACGGATTTGATGAAACCCTGAAGTGAGGTCCAACTTGGAAAAAACCATCGTTGATCCAAGTTCATCCAAAAGCTCATCAACAGTGGGTATTAGAAAACGGTCATTCACGGTAATTGCATTTAATGCTCGATAATCCACACACATGCGCCTACTGTCGTATTTTTTCTTGAGGAGGACCACCGAAGAGGAAAATGGACTATTACTCGACTGAATCCACCCATTTTCAAGTAGCTTACAAATCTGGGACTCAATTTCATGTTTATGCGCATGCAAATAATGATACGACCGCACATTGATGGGAACAACATTAGTATGAAGAGTGATTTGATGATTAGTAAAACGGGATGGTGGAAGAGACTTAGGTTCATCAAATAATGGAGTGAAGGAGGTTCATGAAATTAAGGCCAAGATTTTCAGATGGTGATAGGGATGAAGAGGCATCGGGACCAAGAATGTGGAGAGAAAATATTTGGGTCGTGGGCTCATGTTGGACTCATTTCTTCAATTGATGGTAAGAAATACTATTGTAGTTTGGGTCTGTTTCATCTTGCAGAATAATATATTTGGCACCATGCTGAAATTTCATAATAAGAGATTGATAGTCCATTAAAACTGAGCCTAAAGTTTTGAGCCATGACGTACCCAATACGATATCTGGTCCACTGAGGTTCAATGTATACAAGTCCACAATAAAACTATGACCTTGTATTTCAATTTGTACCTCCTTACATACCTGAGCACGAGTCAATTCATCCCTATTGCCAACCATAACTCTCAAAGTTAGGGATGGGCTATGTTGCAAGTCCAAGGTGCGTTCCACTTGAGTTTGAATGAAGTTGAGGGAACTACCTCCATCTACTAGCACATGGGCTGAATGTTGGACCACACCTCTCAAAACATTGATAGTTTGGGCCGCCTAGGTGCTTGACATGGCATGATAACTCAACAGGGCCAAGTGGGCCGTATCCAGTGGATCAAACAAAGCCATAATATGGTCCAGTGATCCGAAATTTGAGTTACCAGTTTCCCCTGTTTCACGCTCATCTTCATCAGCAATCAGAAGAACAAAACGAGCCTTGCACTTGTAGTGACGAGAAAAGTGTTTGTCACAATTGAAACACAATCCATTTTGTCTATGTTCTGTAAACTCAGAAGTCGATAATTGACATAAACGAGTTTTAGAAGCAGATGTGGGTAAAAGAGGAGGCACATCGGTCTTGGGTGGAGAAGAATCAGAAATAAATTTCACCGGAAAAGGGGAAATCGTGCAAGTGGTGGAAGGTCCTTTCCATTAGGGGTGGAAATAGGCTGGGCTGAGCTAGGCTTTGCCAAGCCTAAGCCTGGCCTGCCAAAAAAACAGAAGCCTAAGTCTGACCTGTAGCCTGTCATAGGCTTATTTTTAGGCCTAAGTCTGGCCTTTTCTAAGGCCTGGTTAGCCTGTTAGCCTACATAAAAGCCTATTATTTTAGACATGTGTAAATAAGCAATTCAAATAATGTTTAAATAGACTAACAAACTAAAAAACCAATTAGACTAAAAGTTTGTTTGCATTGATTTATTTTAACTTACCTATTAACATAAGTTTTGTAAGATATTTTTAAGAGAACTTGTGAAAACAACTTATAACATTGTTCATAAGGTGTTTTCATCTTATTTTTATAAATTCTCAAAGATAACCAAGTTTTATTTATGTATTTTGATTCCAAGTACAAAACATAACATAATGATAATAAAAAAATTATTCATATTTATTTATATAGGTCGGCCTGTTAGGCTTAAAAGGCTTTTTTTATAGCCTGGGGCCTACCCTTTTTAACTAAATAGGCTTATAAAAAGCCTATGACTTTTCTATTAAAAAAGAAAGCTTAGTCTGGCCTGAGCCTATGTAGGTTAGACCGTATGTCCCTATTATCGTCCTGGCCTATTTCTACCCATACTTGCCATGAAGATGACAACCGTTTCTTCATCAAACTCAAGAGATCTTGAAACTTTTCCTCTTGCAACTGAGCAAGTCTTGTAGCTTGCGAAAGAGATGAGGGTTGTTAAGCCAACACCTTACGGAGGATCTCAAATTTCAACCATGATATGAAACAACTTAGGAGATCTTGGAGTGAAAGACCCACAATGAGATTGGAAAGAGATTCAAACTCACCAAGGTAACTAGCAACATAATCAGTTTGTTGAAGCTTAAATAATTTACCGCGTGAGTCATCGTATTCCGTCGGTGCAAAACAGAGTTCCAAAGCTTGCTGAAATTGCAGCCACGAAGTAATATTTCCATTGCTGAACATCCATTGGTACCACACTAACATCGAACCGTCCAAATAAAAGGAAGCAACAATGATACGTTCATCCTCTGGTGTGTGGTGGTAAGTAAAAAACCGAGTGATCTTAAAGATCCATCCATGAGGATCCATGCCTTGAAAATGAGTAACGTAGAGTTTGAGAATATGGCGTGGGGTGTGTTCCGATTCATTATCATGATGGAGGTTGATGGTTTCTGGTGTCGGAGAGCAGCATTCTAAGGACTCGACACAGTTAGTAACCCCATCCATGCGAAGATTAAAATGATCTTGGAAACGAGTAAGCACCTGGGCCAAATTGTCAAGTTTTTCGTTCGTGGAACGAGTAGCGCCAGCCATGTTTGGATCTGACGGGAGAAGAATTCGAAAATGAAAGAACCACTGCTAACAATACAATTTGTTATTGTAACACCTTTCTAAACCCAAAAGAATATTCACAAATAAGTCAATAAACAAATCATAGTAATGCACCAAAATGATGTCACATGCTTCATAAAACATCATACAAAACATATCCTGCTCCGTAACAAGGGTTCTCAAAAATTAAACATTTATCTCTTGGAAAATATCATCAAGAACGTCAACACATCACAACGGAAATTGTTGTCTCAAAACACCTTCATTAAAACCTTTAGGTTGAATACTATCACACTTCATAATTCATGAGTCATGCTCAAAACATCTTAAAACAAAATAAAATATCATACTGTATCAATTCACAAATAACACATGGTTTCGTTCGAACGATCCCAAAGACCCTGATGTTATATATCAGAGCAAGACACTCTTTATTTGAAATAAAGCAACTAAAAGACTCCATAAATCTATCATTGAGTTTCTACGTATATTCCTGATTACCTGCAAGTTACCCACGAATAGAGGCAACATTTCCAAGCATAAAGGGTGAGTAATCATAATCATTATAAAAGACATAAGGAATAAATATAATAGTTATAGCACAATAGTAAAACATCCCACACCATAAAAACTTCATGTAATATTCACACCTTCCCTTCATTATTTATTTATTCATAGCATCATCATATCATCAATCAACAGTCATCATCAAGACATCATTAGTTCACATATTCACAAAGCATCACTTAACCAATCATTATGCAATGTCACAAAGAATATAATGCAACTTCATTAGACTCATGCATGTGATACCAAAACTTCACTGATGACTCAACCATCATTTCTCCAAAGATCCCCACCAATAGGATTGGTTCCCACTTGGAACCAGAGCACATCACAAAATTTCACTCAAATCCACATTATGTGATTGAGGTCATCATTGGACTAATCATCCTAAAACTTTACTGGAACAATGTCCTGCAATCATCACTGGGTTATGCCCTAACATATGCCATGAATGCATGATGTGAAACATCTTAATAACAACATGACCACTGCTAGTAAAAAAACATCATCATTCATATAATCATTATAGTATCATCACATACTTCATATTACACACGTCATCAACATAACAACAATAATTCATCATATACACATACATTATAATAGAACAATCACCAAATCATCTTATTCATATAAAATATAGACATTAGAAAACACATCATATGATTTATCTTATTCCACCAAAGTATAGTTTATCGCATAGCTTTCTAACACTTCGAACCACACGTCAAACAGAGTCCGGAAACTCAAGTTACAATTTGTTAAAGTTCTGTCAGACATCTCTCGCCCGAGGCTCGCCCAGTGAAGTAACTTGCTCGCCTAAGGCTCGCTCGACGAGGCTGGGGCGAACCAGGTTCCCCCATACAAAATCCAGAAGCTTGCATTTCCCTATCTCTCCTTCGCCCGTTAACACATCATGCTCGTCCGACGAGCTTAGCTTGCCTCTGCTTCCCCCGACGAAGCTGGAGCGAGTCCTTTTCCCTCATATGAAAGTCCAAGGGCTATGTTTTTCACCATTCCCTTTGCCTCATGCTCTCCCACTGCATCAGGGGCGAACTTCCTTCGCACGACGAGCCAACACGAACAAGAATTCCCTGTTGCTATCTTTGCACTGCCCCCGTCCAATTTTTACATGATTCCTTCATATTACAGGTCTCAATTCATCATAGTTTCATCATACGATACCAACATAAGTTATCATGCATCATATGCCTCAATTTATTGGACAACAATCTCACAAATTCATCAATTTTTGTCAAAATCATCATCTTAACACCATTAACCAAAACCCCAACATACCTACAATTATCTAAACCTTAAACCAATTATTATAATAATGATAAACTCTCCTTACCTTAGATTCTTCATAGAAATTTATTCCTCTTTGCATTCTACAAAATCCTTTTGAGTTCCTTCGTGCCCTGGCTCTCTTCACAATGTTCCTCATACTTTCACGATCGCACATAATGAATATTGACACTCACTTTTCCTTGTTTAACCCTTGGATCTTTTATATGGTCTTCCCATATTACCTTCACTTACATCACAATATTACCACCTTGTCCTCATAGTCTCTACCTCTTATTATTTTTCTATTTAACTAATTAAAATAATTCCAACTAATTATTCTAATTATACAAATTATCCTAAAAATACTCAATATCATCTTAATTCTCACCACCCCATCATACACCACACAAAACAATATATCAAACATTATGTTCATCACAACATCACATATACTCCACAAATACGTCACAAATATTCATCATAAATCAATTAAATAATTAAATAAATAATCTAATTATTTTGGGGTGTTACAGTTATCACTCTGCAATTGAAGGAGCAAAGGAACCTCTTGAGAATTTTTAAGAAAAGGGGAGAGTTTAATATTTTCTTTGATAACTTTTTATAGAGCTCATGGCTCACTTTAATACAACTAATGCATGGCAGAAAGATTTCATAAATCTATTACAAATGAGAATCTAACAAACTTGTAATGAGTTGGCATCCTTCTAAATCATTTCTTCACTAGCAGCCAAAACAGTCACATAATCCTCTAATCTTTTAGGAATTCTGATTGTTTTTTTTTGTCCTTGGTCCTTGCTCTTGATTGTTTTCCACTTCCATTATTGGGCCAATGTCATCACTGATGGGCCTTCCCGTATCAAGCATATGAGAAAAAAGAAAAGATTAATAGAAGTTTGGGTGGAGCAGATTAAAAAAACATAACAAATTTCTATTCTTGTAAAAACATTATACTAACAAAAAAGATTAATGGAAGGTGGGTTGACTACAATAACATATGGGTTCGCGTCAGCGGGGAAACTTGCTCTTCTCGAGGAGACATCACCCGAGAGAAGAAAGGGGTTAACTTGATTTCATTTTTATTTTAAAAAATTGGATACGTGGCTTAAATTAGTTAATTGATTGATTTAATGGACGAGGTTTGTTGAAAGGTAGGTACCTTTCCCGCCTTAAAGGAGGGGAATCTGTTTCCATCTATTTATATACAATTATATACTTTTAATATATAAAAACTAATTACCACCAAAATTACCTCATTAGCCTAACTAAAACGATATAGATAATGTTTTCATGCCCCTAAATGTAATTACAACATATAAGCATTAATTAACCTAAAACACTAATTTATTAATATTATTTACTGCATACTCATTATTTGATTCCACATTTGCACGCCATAACCATTTTAGATACCCAACATTAGAAACATAAGTTTTCCTTCATTTTTCAGTTTATTTATTTCAACCTTAACCATTTGATTTCCTTCATCTCTGTCTTCCGTTCGTTGGCTCTTCACATCCTCTGTGAAAACTCTTCAACCCTCTACAAAAATTCTTCACATCCTTCACCATGATTCACATCCTCTAGGAAAAAAAGTTTTTATATTTTTCACCACTTTAGTGTTCATTCAGTCTTTCCCCGTTTGTAATATCATTCGATTTCATTGTTGTTCGGTTCATATGTTCATCAAAATATTATCAGTGATGGGTTTTCAATTTTGATTTTTATCTTACATGAAAAATGAGTTTCACGTATTCATAACAATTTTGGTTTTAAGAAAGTGAATCTTTTACGGTAAGAGTCGGTTATTTTGTCACTGATTCCAAAGTGAATTTGTTTCTTTTCCTTTCCCTTAATCCTAATATTTCCTCTCTCTTCTACGGTCCCTCTTCAATTCTGTTATTTTTTCTGTCGACTTTTAAAATCAATATTACAATCATTTGGGATTTTTCTCTTGAAAAGGTAAGATTTTATTTTATTCTTAAGTGAATCTATTCGTTTATTGTTACAATTGTTTCTTTGGTTCATCTATTAATCTATTTTCATTATTTCTGTTTTTCAAAGGTGGGTTTTTGAATCTGTTTTATCCTGATAATCAGATTTCAGTTCATAAGGTAAGATTTCTGAAACTTTTTTCTTCTTTTAAGAATTGATTTGTTTACAATCCTGAAATTATTTATGTTATTCTTCTAATAATCTATTTCTGAATGCTATAAATTCATGTATTCCAATTTTTGATTTATTTTCTTCCTTTGTAGGTGTTTACTGAGATAACTCTAGAGAAGGGAATATGAGAGGTAGCCTTGGATCGATTAACGGTTGAAATAATAATTATATGTTTTTGAATCTCAAATATTTTCTGCAAGTTTTTATATTAATGGGATGAATTGAAATTTTTTCTATTAATGGGGATGAAGATGTTGAATTTAGAATTTAATATTTATTTCTTAGTTCTCCCATAAAAATTATTTGTTTCTGAATCCCAAATCCTTAATTTTTAATCTTTTTATTGTCAAATATTATGAAACTTTGTTTATATCACTTTGTTGTTTCTAATAATCTCTTCTCTTTTCTTTAATAGAACTTTATATTTACAATAATATTGAAGTATACAGATATATAAACCTCAAAATATGAAGCAAATATGAATATTATATTTATACTATTTATATAAATGGTTTGAACATTGAGTCATATTATTTATACTATTTTTAAGTTTTATAAACTTTTTTGTGACAACTAATTTTTGGAACAAAATGAGGATGGCTTATATTCACGAGTTCATATACTATGTACATGCAATTGAATACAGGACCTTTAAACTATATTGTATGTCTTTACCACTAGGTCAATGTATATTCATACGAATAATTCTCATGATTTCTAGAAATATTAAATAATTTTGAATTTAAAACAAAAAATACAAAATTTAAGTTCGTTCAAGTTAAATGATAGTCATTTCCTAATTATACAAATCAATTTCTATTGCTAATATTTATAATGATGAATACTTAATTCAATAATTCTGAACAAACATTTTTTTTGGAGAAACGAAAATATATTAATCTAAAAACTCAGATGCGATACAATGTTGATCCGAAGATCTA